TTGAACCTCCAGCCTTCTGGTTAGCAGTCAAATGCCTTAGGTACTATGCCACCAGATCTCCTAAACAGGCATAGAGAATAGGATTGAAAATATATCATAAAATGGGTAGTGACTTAATTCATACCTTCCAGCAAGATGGGACTCAAGATATTTCCCACCCTAAGCAGGCATAGAGACTAGGGTTTACAACACCTATCAAAATGGAGGACAATGGCTAGAAGGGCCATATTAAGCAATTCATAGCACTGCATCGCCTTTAACTCTCGTGCCCCTCCCTGGGGTTTCCATTGCCTTGACCATTTGTGCTGACCTCCTAGTTACTGTATACTGCCTTTTCTTCACCTAAATTAGTATGTATCCACCCTCTACTTAATGATTTACCCTGCCTCCCCACCATTGCTATAACCTTCAAAGAATTATTTTTTTCTGTGTGTGAGCTTTTTCTTGACTTTTTACAGTACTATTCTCACATAATATTTTTCCTTTTGTGATTGACTAATTTCACTCAGCGTAATGTCCTCTGGGTTCATTCGTGTTATGAGATGTTTTGCATATTCATTGCTATTCTTTACCATTGTATATTAAACAGTTGAGTATATGTGCTGTATTTTGTTTATCCGTTTATCTGCTCTTTCCATCGTTTTGCTAATGGGAATAATGCTGTGGTGAATGTGGGCATGCTTATATCTGTTCACATTACAGCTTTTGTTTCTCTAGGATATTTACCTAGCAGTGGAAATGTTAGATGATATGGTATTTCTATTTTCAACTTCTTAAGGAAGCACTGTACCACTGTCCACAGTGTTTGTAGCATTCACATAAAGGGCGTATACATAAAACCAATGGTCAACATTATTATCAACACAAAGAGACTGAAATCAATTCCCTTGTGAACAGAACTAGACAAGGTTGTCCTATAGCACCACTCCTATTCAATTTTGTTTTGGAAGTCCTAGACAGAGCAATAAAGCAAAAAAGAGAAATTAAATGCATTCAGAATGGAAAAGAAGAAGTAAAACTACCTGTATTTGCAGATGATATGGTCTTATACATAGAAAATCCTAGAGATTCAACAAAAAAACTTCTAGAACTAACCAAAGGATTTAGTAAAGTAACAGTGTACAAGATTACAATAAAAAATCAATTAGAGTCCTATATAATAACAAAGAAAACTCTGAAAGGGAAATTAGGAAAACAATGCTATTTACTATAGCTACTCAAAAGATGAAGTGCTTAGGAATAAATTTAACCAGGACACAACTAACTGTGGACACAAAAGACTTATACAAAGGAAAGTATAATGCACTAATAAAGAACTAAAACAGACCTACATAAGTGAAAGGACATATCACACTCATGGAGAGGAAGACTTAAAATTATAAAATGACAATACTAGCCAAAGCAAACTACAGGTATAATGTAATCCCCATCCGAAATCCATCTTCACTCTTTAAAGAG